ATATTGCCAGTGGGAATTTAAAATGGTAAAACCACTCTAGGAAACAGTTTTGAAATATTCTTAAAAATCTAAATCTACAACTATCATATGACTCAGCAATTACACTCCTAGGCATTTTCCCCAAAGAAATGAAAACTCATGTTCATACAAAAACCTGTATATAAGTACTTGTTTCCAAATATTAGAAACAACCCAGATGACCTTCATAAACTGGTAAATCATGGATTATTATTCAGCAAGAAAAAACCAACAAACTATTGATACATGCAATAACTTGGATGGATCTCAAGGCAATTATGGTGAGTGAAAAATCCCCAGACATTACATACTAGATTATTCCATTTACATAACTTATTTTAAATTGCCAAGTTCTATAGGTGGATAACAAATTAGTGGTTAGGAAAGGAAAAAGGTGGGAGGGTAGCAGGAGGGAAGGATTCTGTTCATGAAAGGACAGCAAGGGAGATCTTTGTAATCAGGAACTGTTCTTTGTCTGGACTATCAAAGTGGATACATGAACCTACACAGGTAATAAAATTTCATAAGAGGACCCAGCTGTCATGGCTCAGTGGTTGAGCGTCGATCTATGAACCAGGAGGTCATGGTTGGATTTCCGGTCAGGGCACATGCCTGGGTTGTGGGCTCAATCCCTAGTGGGGGTTGTGCAGGAGGCAGCCAATCAATGATTCGCTGTCATCATTGATATTTCTATCTCTCTCTCCCTTACCCTTCCTCTCTGAAATCAATAAAAAATATGTTTTTTAAAAATTGCATAAGAGGGAAAACATCCACATGAATACAAGTAAAATTGGGAAAACCTGAATAAGATCACTAGACTATATCAATGTCAATCTCCTGGCTGTTACATTATAATTTTACAGGATATTACCATTGGGAAACTGGGTATAGGATGTACAGGATCTCTCTGTAATATTTCTTACACTTCCATGTGAATTTATAATTACCTCAAAAGAAAAAGTCAATTTAAAACTAAAGATTGAGCACAGCTGGCACGGCTCAGTGGTTGAGTATCAACCCATGAACCAGGAGGTCACAGTTCTATTCCCACTCAGGGCACATGCCTGGGTTGCAGGCTCAGTCCCCAGTAGGGGGTGTGCAGGAGGCAGCCAATCAGTGATTCTCTCATTCCTGATGGCTCTCTCTCTCTCTCTCCCTTCCTCTCTGAAATCAATAAAAACATAAAAATAAATATAACTGCTCTGGCTGGTTTGGCTCACTGGATAGAGCATCAGCCTGGGGACTGGAGGGTCCCGGGTTCGATTCCAGCCAAGGGCATGTACCTTGGTTGCGGGCATCCCCAGTGGGGGGTGTGCAGGAGGCAGCTGATCAATGCTTCTCTCTCATCGATGTTTCTAACTCTCTATCCCTCTCCCTTCCTCTCTGTAAAAAATCAATAAAATATATTTTTTTAAAAATCTGACGCATAAATGACTGGTCTTCAAGGGCCCAGGAATGGCTATTATCAATCTGAAAAACTAAGGAGTAAGTCATGTAGTCCTGAGTTGGGGGAACATAGCCGTAGGTAAGAACATCTAGAAATGAGGTGGTATACACAAGGAAAATTTTCAGACAACTGAAGCTTCTTCCTTCCTGATCCCAATGGTTTGTACAACACTGAAACTCTTCTCCAAAGGATATCTTTCTAGAGCAAGTAACACAATTCTCTATTGAAATGAGTATATAAAACACAACCTTTCTAGAGAGCCCGGGATCACTTTTTTCTGTGATCACACTGTGCTTACCTCATAAAGATTAGTCCCCTTTTCAGCTTTCTAGATTATTGGATCTAATCTTCCAGGGCTAAGAAAACTGCAAAGCAGACCGGTAATACCCTACAAGTCAAAGCTGATATTTTTGGCTTCGAGGTGCTGCCACAACTTTCTGGGGGCAGGTTAACCTATGGATGAGTAGAGGCCTTTGCCAGGGCTTCTTCAGCCAGGGTGCATCAACTGACCTTAAACTCACCTTTGGGGTCATCATTACCCTGCCTGTGCAAGCACTTCCAATGGCAGCATGCAGCAGAGGAAAAAGTCCTCAAGGTAAAGCCAGAATCTCTGGGCTCCAGTCCAGCTGCATTGTTAGCTTGCAGCAGGACGTTGGACAAGTTCCTCTCAATTGAACAATGACAGGAGGACATATTCATTAAGGTGTTCCCGGGTTATGTCATCTAGAGTTCTTCCTCATTAATAAAGATGGCTTTAATTTTTTTAAAGTTGAAATGTATTAAAAAGGGAATATATGCTCAATATAAAAAAAAAATAATACAGTGGTGTAGAATGGCAAGAGAGAAAATATAAAGGTAAGTCTTAAATCTCTCTCCAGAAATGGCTACCATGAATCTTTTCAGACCTGCATGCATGCCCCTGTGTGTGTGTCTGCATGTTCACATATACTTATATTTAATAAGAACATGAGTCATACTACATATATCCTATTCTGTAACTTGCTTTTTTAATGTCAGTTCTAGAGATTTACCATATTTTTGTAATGGCTTCATAGTATGAATAGTTCAGAATTTATGAATTAAACCATGAGATTTGAGAGTATTTAATTTTTTTTAATATTTTACTTGATTTTTAGAGAGAGAGGAATGGAGAGGGATAGATAGAAACATCGATGACATCAGTTGCCTCCTGCAGGCGCCCTACTGGAGATGGAGCCGGCAACCCGGGCATGTGCCCTGACCAGGAATCAAACCGATGACCTCTTGGTTCCTGGGTTGACACTCAACCACTGAGTAACACCGGCCTGGTGAGAGTAATTTTAGATTGATACAAAACACAGGAAAGCTGCAAAAGCCATTCCAACTGTATCTCTGCACACATACATAAGTGCACCTGGAGGGAAAATGCTTTGAAGTAGAACTGCTCGTTCAAAGACTTTCTCAAATTGCCCTCCTAAAAGGTTTAACTAATTTATATGATTATCACAAAAGTGAAATTATAAAAGTATAACTTAATACACAGAAGACACATAAAAATGACCTTCCTGCCCCAACTCCACAAATACATGCTCATTGCACATTAATATTGAAGAGCTCAGTGATTTGAAGGAAAACATAAGGATGCTACATAAATATGTAGTCATCTTCTCAGAAAGTTCTTAAAGTTTGTTCCATGGACCTCTGGGGTCCATGAGGTCATAACTATTTTCATAATCATCCTCAGATATTTTTTGCCCTTTTTACAGGGTTGATATTTGCACTATGAGGTAAAAGCAATGGTGAGTAAACCTGGCCCTAGAATGAACCAAGGCAGTAGCACCAAACAGTACGAGGAATCAATAGATTCTTCACTATACAATAGCAGTTGAAAGAGAATGCCAGTTTTACTTAATGTCCTAGATCAGTGGTTCTCAACCTGTGGGTCGTGACCCCTTTGGAGGTCGAACGACCCTTTCACAGGGGTCGCCTAAGACCATTGGAAAACACATATATAATTACGTATTGTTTTGTGATTAACCTCTATGCTTTAATTATGTTCAATTTATAACAATGAAATTGGGGGTCACCACAACATGAGGAACTGTATTAAAGGGTCGCGGCATTAGGAAGGTTGAGAACCACTGTCCTAGATGAATATGGTAGGTATAACTCTAACATAGTTGCTAAGACTCCTGCCCTGCTGATATACATACCCCGTATAATCCCAGCCCTTTGAGTATGAGATGGACCATTTCACTCCCATAATCAGGTTATGACATATGGCAGAGGTGAAGGGATTTTGCAGGCTGAATTAAGATGCCCAATCAGTATGACTAAATTACACAAAATGGAGAATATTATGTATGATTTAATCAAGTGAGCCCATGAAAAGAGTTGTTTAGGCCTTCCCTGGGCTGACATTAGAGGAAGCAGACTCTGAGTCTCTTGCTGACCTTGAAGAAGTAGATACAGGTTCTATAACTGCAGAGAAATGAATTCTGCCAACAATCCTGAATGTGTAACTATATTACCTTACATGGGAAAAGGAACTTTGCTGATGTGATTAAGCTAAGGACCTTGAGATGGGGAGATTATCCTGGATTATCTAGGTAGACCCAATGTAATTACAAAAGCACGTATAAGGGAAAGAGAAGGAGGCAAGAAAGTCAGAGAAGGAGATGTGATGATGGAAGGAGGGATGGGAGTGAGAGAGAAATTTAAAGATGCTATACTGCTGGCTTTAAAGATGGAGGAAGTAGCCACAAACCAAGAAATGTAGGTGGCATCTAGAATCAGGAAAAGACAAGGAAACAGATTTTCCCCTAGAACCCCGAAAAGGAATGCAGACCTGTCAGTACCTTCATTTTATCCCAGTGAAACCCAGATCATACTTCTGGCCTCTAGAACTGTAAGATAATAAATGTGTGTTTTTAAAAAATATGCTTTTATTAATTTTACTTCACTTTTTTTGTTTTTGTTTAATTCTCACCTGAGGATGTTTTTTCCATTGATTTTTAGAGTGGAAGGGAGGGGGAGAGACAGAGAGAGAGAAACATAGATGTGAGAGAGACACATCAATTGGTTGTCTCCTGCACGCACCCTGACTGGGGCCGGGACTGGAGCCTGCAACCGAGGTACATGCCCTTGACCAGAATCGAACCTGTGACCCTTTACTCTGAAGGCCAACACTCTATCCACTAAGCCAAACTGGACAGGGCTGTTTTTATTTATTTTAGAGATACGAAGGGAGAGGAGGAGAAGAAACATCAATGAGAGAAAAACATCAACATCAATTAGCTGCCTCCTACATGCTTGGGCTAGGGTGAAGATGAAAATATTGATAGATATGACCCACATAACCAAAAACCCTTGAGATCCTCAATAATTTGGGGGGTCCAAAAAGTTTAAGAACACTGTTTTAGGGTTCTCCTGTGCCTTGAAGTGCCCCCAGCTCTGCCAAGCCAGGAGTGGCTCTGTGGGCTGCAGTAGTAAATGAGCTACAACTCGACCGATAAGCTACAGTGCGGGCCAGTGCTTTCAACCAGCTACAACTTACCTCCTCCTCCTGCACTTGGCTTTCTGCGGCCATCATCTCGATCACCCAAAGCATCAGCCAATTCAAAATCATCACCTTCAATGGGCACCAAAACATAAAGGAAACAGCCAACCGGTTAACGACTGGGTGCAAGATTCCAAAAAGGCAAAACTACACCCATGAGCTCAGTTAATCAATGGACTAAGCCAAAATAACTTAAATTGGGTTCTAACTCCTTCTACAGATATCAATAATGAAAATACCAGCAGGATGGAGTAAGTTACTGCTATCTGCCTTTGCATGATATTACCACTAGAGGCCCAATGCACAAATTCGTGCACCAGTGGGGTCCCTCAGCCTGGCCTGTGGGATCGGCTGAAACCAGCTCTCCAACATCCCCCGAGGGGTCCCAGACTGTGAGAGGGCTCAGGCCAGGCCGAGGGACCCCACCAGTGCACGATCGGGACTGGGAAGAGATGTGGGAGATTGGCCAGCTGGGGAGGGACCGTGGAAGGGCTCCAGGGCGTGTCCGGTCCAACTCGCTCAGTCCTGATCAGCCAAACCCCAGCAGCAAGTTAACCTACCAGTGGGAGCATCTGCCCCCGGTGGTCAGTGCATGTCATAGCTACTGGCCAACTGGTCGACTGTCTGACACCTGACGGTCAGTGCATGTCATAGCGAGCAGTTGAGTGGCCTTAGCATATCATTAGCATATTATGCCTTGATTGGTTGAAAGGCCGACCAGTTGACCAGACGACTGGACACTTAGCATATTAGGCTTCTATTATATAGGAGGACTTTCTACTTTTTATATTTCTATATACGCTTTCCTTAGGCCAGCAATCAGACCACAGCATACTCACTGATTACAGATATTAACCCAATATTCAAAACCAGATGTATAGAGTGCATAAACTGGACAATCAAGAGGGAGACTTCATAGTCGCATACACCCAAAAAACCCCCCACCCTTTTGAGGGTGCAAATGTGAAGACACAAGGGCAAATCATAAAGCAATAGTAAATCTCTCCTGAGTCAAGACTGTCTCTTTAGAAGTAACCCTACTTCAAGGCACATGGTAGCATGCTCCTAAATACTAGTAACAAGTTGCCAGATGGAATCAATGATTGCATCTCCCACTCCAAGGCTAAGCTTGTCTTTATATCAGTGAAGATGTCCGAATAGTAAGATGGTCCATCTGGACAAAGGTTAAAACAACTTCAGGAAAAAGTCACAAAGAAACATCAAGTTCCAAAATCCTTTACTGAACATGACACTGTAAAATAAATGTCATCCATAATGTTCCAACAGCCTGAGAAAGCATTTGACAGGGGGGGAAGGGGGGGGTGATAAAACCTATACAATTACATCTTCTCTGATTTTAGAATGTGAAATGGTTGAAAGGGGAAGAAAATCCAAACGGGTTTTTCTCTTGAAATTTTCCCAAGTAAAACTTTTCATAAAAAAAAAAAAAGACAGTGATTTGGCCAGCTATATCCTCTATTACTAGTAAGTTAAATCCAATGTTCAGATAAAGGTTTTGGTTGGCATTGCATATACAGGGCTTAAAGCTATGGGTAGTTCATCTGGACACTATACTACCCCAGAGGGAGCTCCACAGGGTCTTTCCTCATTGCCCTCATTAGAGTAGCATGTTACCTGCAGGCTTTGCCGGAGCTCTGGTCGTTCCAGGCCTCTTGGTTGTGGTAGTGACATGGTCCCATCGCTCTAAAGGAGGGAGGGGGACAGCAAGAGGAGCCCGTTTAGTAACAAAATATAGCAGCCACTTCATGGCTCAGGGAAGTCACATCATGAGTAGCGTACCCTGGTCTTGGTCCTTGAGTCCCCTAGTAGGCCTCTGAGAATCACTTAGAGAAGGATGACAAGGAGATATAGGAGGTTTAAATGAGACAAGTTCTGCTCACATTTCTTCAGAGGATGGGTTGTGAGGTAGATGTTGTCCCACATGCAACTTATGACTAATGGAGCGGGGGCTTCCTCCCAGATCTGTTAAAGGTGAGCACGTGGTCCAGTGAGTTCCAGAGCTGGAGCATGACCCTTGTGAGCTTCAAGCCTTGGTTTCCACCACTATCAACCTGGCAGCATAACCACAGACACTACTGCCCATGGATGGATGGAAGTTATGTTCCCCGTAGAGTATGGGAGTGTCTTATGAACTAAAAGTGGTTATAACACCAAGGAAATATTTTATATCAGTGTGGCAACTACTGCCAATATTAGGTCTATGGGCTTAACCATATTCCTTTAAAATTGTGGAATTCTTTCACATCAATTACAAGGCATGCCATGTACAAGTTTTCCAATAGTTTCTTTTCTTAAATATCAAGACTGTGCTGTAACTGTTAAACTATTGGAAGTAGTAGAGAGAAAGAAAATTTGAGTAATGGGAAAGCAGAGATGAAACAGGTTTAGGTTTATATACAGCAATCACTCAATAATTATTGACTACTCAGGAAAAAAAAACAAAATATAAATTAATTTAAAGTAAAATGATAGATACAGCTATAGAATGCAAATAGCAATCATAAGAGAGCTGGAGTAACTATATCAGATAAAATACACTTTAAGATAAACATTATTTCAGGAGTCAAAGAGTGACATTTTATAATGATTAAAGGATGAATCCAGCAGGAAGAAATACAATTTAAAACATATATGGCCCTAGCCAGTTTGGCTCAGTGGATAGAGCATCAGCCTGTGGACCAAAGGGTCCCGGGTTCGATTCTGGTCTAGAGCATGTACCTTGGCTGTAGGCTCCTCCCTGGCCTGGGCCCTGGTCAGGGCTCGTGCAGGAGACAACCAACCGATGTATTTCTCTCACATCGATGTTTCTCTCTGTCTTTCCCTCTCTCGCCCCCAAAATCAATGGAAAAAATATCCTCAGGTGAAGATTAACAACAACAACAACAAAATCTGTATGACTCAAACAGCTCTGGCATAAAAATACTTGTTTTCCCAGTTTTAAAAAAAATCAATTCACAGATGTAAGAGTTTATTTTTGAACTCTCATTTCTTTTTTATTGCTGCACATGTCTATCCTTATGCCAATATCACACAAGTCTTGATTACTACAGCTTTGGGGAGTTCTGCCCTACTATGCACAGTTTCTAGAAAAGTCTGGTTTCTCTGAAGATCTTCAGGTGCCATTTCAAGAAAGGGCCTTCCTTACATGCATATGGAACCAGTTGCTCTGTCAGAGCCTGAGCCTGCAGTGATATGGAACATAAGCTTGGATCTGTGCACTTTTTAAGATAATATTAGCGACAGATCTTGTTGTTAGCCTTTAAATAGGATAAGTGAGATGAGGAAACTCTAGTTACTTATAAAGGAATTAGAAGAGTAGTCAACTTCACTAAAGCAGCGAGTTCCTAAAATAAAGAAACCTATTTCTATGAAGCCTTTCTCAAAATAAAACTTAGAAAGGATTCTTTGCTGTTCAGCAAACACTGTCAGCAATATGGCATTCCTACCAGGAGTGATTCTTTATAATATGTGCTATAATAAAACAATAAATAGTCCTAGCCGGTTTGGTTCAGTGGCTAGAGTGTTGGCCTGCGGACTGAAGGGTCCCAGGTTCGATTCCAGTCAAGGGCACATGCCTGGGTTGTGGGCTCGATCCCCATTAGGGGGCGTACAGGAGGCAGCCAATCAATGATTCTCTCTCATCACTGAGGTTTCTCTCTCACACTCCCTCCCTCTCTGAAATCAATACAAATATATATTTTTTAAAAAGTAAATAAAACTGGTCAGGTTCACCCTGGACGGTTTGCTCAGTGATCAGAACTGCCGGGGTCCAACCCCAGCGGGTCCAGGGGTCCCCAAAGGTGTGGACGGAGTCGGCGAAGAAGAAATGAAACGGAGACAGCGTTCAGTTGATCAGCAGCCTAGCCAGGATCTCTAGCCAGGATCTTCAGCCAAGTTCTGGTCTGGATCTCCAGCGAAGTTCTGGTTTGGATCTCCAGCCAGGTTCTGTGTCCATGTTCTCTTGCTAGGTTCTCCAGGTTCTCCAGCCAGGTTCTGTAGTTATGTTCCCTCGCTAGGTTCTTCAGCCAGGTTCTGTCCAGGTTCTCCAGCCAGGTTCAGTCACCAGGTTCTAGTCAGGTTCTCTTGCCAATTTCTGTAGTCAGGTTCAGTCCAGGATCTTTTGCCATGTTCTCGCCAGCAAAGTTCTTCTGTCTGTAGGTTCTGTGTTCTAAGCTCTGTATTCTAAGTTCTGAGTCTTGCTGTCTTGTTACATCTGTATTTATACCAGTTGATTCAATCCTATCAATCTCTATTACAAAGGTTAGGGCATTTATTATCTCCATTCCAGGGAGTAAAGATTATGTAGCTTAAGCATGATTATTCGTAGTTAAAGTGATTAATTACCCGCCTGGCACTTAGTTGAGGGGTTTTATTCCCTCCCTAACTTCAGGGGAAAATCCCTACCTGGGGAAACAACCTTTCTCAGAGACCTTGGTTAAAACACATAGTGCCAAGAAGGTGAGCAAACATATTAAGAACAGTATGCCATATATGCCAGGTCCCTTGAAACAGCAACGATGGACCGGCTCCCGGCAAGAACATCAGCTCTCAGACCGAAGGATCACAGGTTTGATTCCTGGTCAAGGACATGTACCTCTGTTAAAATATCCTCAGATAAGTATTAAAAACAAACAAACAGCAAAAAAAACTGGTCAGGTTCTCCCAGGCATGGCTTAATGATGGTACCCATGGTATTCCAAGGAAAAGAGAACACTCATACAAAGCTTTATTTGAAAAGAGGAGAAGTGAATTCCCCTGTGAGATGATTACACACAGAGAAAGATGAAAGGATGTGGGGAGGGGGGAGAGAAAAAGATGGACAGAGAAGGAGAGACAGTGGGAAGGAGTGAAGGAAGGGAGAAAAGTGGGGAGAGAAAGAGGAACAAAATTCTGAAAACAACATGGATGAACCTTGAAAATATTATGCTCAGTGAAAGAAACTAAACATAAAGTCCACATATTATATTACCCCACTGATATGAAATGACCAGAATAGGAAAATGTATAGAGACAGAAAGGAAATCAGTGGGTGCCATGGGCTGGGGGGTGAGGAAGAATCAGGGGATTAGGGAGTGATAAGTAAAAGGTACAGTGGGTTGTCGTTCTTTTTGAGATGACAGAAATGTTAAATTGACTGTGGTTATAGTTGCACAACCTTGTGAATACACTAAAAACCAATGAATTGTGCACTTTAAACTGGTAAACTGTATGGTACGTGAATTATATGTCAATAAGGCTGTTTTTAAATATATACTCCAGGAGTTTCCTCTTGTAATTGGAATAAAATGTCACTATGCCTTTGAGACTTTATATGCTCTATCTCCTGGGAACTTCTCTGTCTTTTCTCTAACATTATCCATACTCCTAATCACACAGACTACCTTCTAAGCCCTAGAGCCAAGCTAATTCTCTGCTGTATGGTTCTTTCATCTAATCCCTTGGCTTTCAAGGGTTTTTCCCGGCTCCATGCATGTCAACTTTCACCAGAGAGTTCTTTACCATGTTTAAGTAGTTACCCCTTACCACGTCCTTGGGCTCTCCCTGTTCCATCACTCTGCTATATTTACTCTAGAGTACTGAGTAGTACCTGAAATTATTTTATGTACTGTCTATGTCCTTCCAGAAAAAATAATTTCATGAGGAAATTGACCTAGGCCACCTGGTAAGTCCAGCCCTGGAATAGTGACTAGCAGCAAGCAAGTACTCAATAAACATTACTGAATGGATTATTGAAAGCCTTTTACAATACCCTGACGTAGGTGGTTCAGGGATATACAAAGAAGAACATTCTCTGCCAGAAAAATAATTGAGCCAAAGAGAGATGGGCAGGCCTGTGTCTTTGAAATTTTAGTTGCATAAAGTATAAGCTAAAATAGAAAAACAAAGGATGGCAGAATGATGTGGTCTTAAAGGATATCATTCAACCCAAGACATCATGTGCAACCAAAGACATCTTGTATTGGTAGTCCTATGCATCCCAGACACACTGGCTGATGGGTGCTGATGAGTAAAATCCGATGGACAGGCATATGACTGAAAAGGTGATGTAAATATTTAAAAGCCCTCCAGTAGGAAATTAATAAATTTACTAATTGGTGGTCTGTTTATACTTAACAAGTTTTTCTGTTTTGTTTTAGATCATGTTTGTTTTTGGAGATGTTAATTTAATTTCATTAAAACCGCCGATAATAAATTAGTTGTACTTTTTTTTCTTAGGAATCTAAAAGGCTACCTGAATGTATAGGACTGTGTGCATGCTCAGCAAAAACCTGAGAATACCCTAAGATCTTGCCTCACAGCATACATAAAAATAAACTTCCAAGAGATTTATAGTTTTAGGTATATGATCCATTTTGAATTAATTTTTGTATAAGAAGTGAGGCAGGGGTCCAACTTCATTCTTTTGCATGTGACTAGGTAGTTGTCCCAGCATCATTTATTGAAGAGACTATTCTTTCCCCCATTGAATAGTCTTGGTACCTTTGTTAAAAATCAATGGGCCCTACCTGGTTTGGCTCAGTGGATAGAGCGTCAGCCTGTGGACTGAAGGGTCCCGAGTTCGATTCCAGTCAAAGGCATATGCCCGGGTTCTGGTCTTGATCCCCAGTAGGGGGCATGCAGGAGGCAGCCAATCAATGATTCTCTCTCATCACTAATGTTTCTATCTCCCTCTCCCTTCCTCTCTGAAATCAAAAAAATTTAAAAATCAAATGGTCACCCTGGTCGGTTTGGCTCAGTGGATAGAGCATCGGCCTGCAGACCAAAGGGTTCTGGGTTCGATTCTGGTCAGGGGCATGTGCTTTGATTGCAGGCTCCTCCCCAGCCTGGGCCCTGGTTGGGGCTCATGCGGGAGGCAGCCAATCAATGTGTTTCTTTCACACGATGTTTCTCTCTGTCCTTTCCTCTCTCTTCCACTCTCCCCAAAAATCAATGGAAAAATATTCTCAGGTGAGGATTAACAATAAATAAATAAATAAATAAATAAATAAATAAATAAATAAGTCATAGATACAAGGGTTTATTTCTAGACTCTCAATTCTATTCCATTGAGCTCTACGTCTACCTTTATGCCAGTACCATACTACTTGATTATTGCAGATTTGTAGTAAGTTTTGAAATTGAGAAGTGTGAGTCCTCCAACTTTTTCTTCTTTTGCAAGATTTTTTTAGTTATTCTGGGTACTTTGAAATTAAGATCAGCTTGTCTATTTCTGCAAAACTCTAGCTGGGATTTTGACAGGAAATTGCATTTAGTCTGTTGATCAATGTAAGCAGGTGAGCATTTCTTACGTATGCCTGACTCTTACACTGGAGACCCAATCTTTCCAATCAAATCAGTCAAAGAACAACAATAATGACACACACACACTGAACACTCACCTCATATCAAGTCCTTTGCATAGTTCTTCACAAGGGCCAGCTCATCTATTCCTTACCATAATCCTAGGAGGTAGTGCTTATTATTAGCCTCATGTAACACATGAGAAAACTGAGGAGCAGAGAAGTCAGGTGACTCACCTAAGGTGATAGTTAATAAGTGGCAGAGGCAGGATTCAGACACAGGAAATCAGATGCCAGAGCTCCTGCCTTTCTCAATCCACAATATACAAAGGGATCCCACAAACCCATAAAACCCCCCCAAAAAACAACCAATAGCCCAGTTTAAAAATGGGGAAGGAATATGAAGAGACAATTCACCAAAGAGAAAAGTGCAAATGGTCAATCCTATCTAATAATAGAGAAACATGGTAATTAACCGTAACTTCGCTACCCTTCCCATTGGCTAATCAGTGAGATATGCAAATTAACTGCCAGCCAAGATGGCGGTCAGCAGCCACACAGCTGAAGCGAACATGAGGCTTGCTTGCTCCAGTGACGGAGGAAGCCAAGGTTCCCCACCTGCTGCAGCCCAGCTCTGAGCTCCGGATGCAACAATGTTGCAATTATAGAAGCTAAACAAACTCCAGATACCTGCTTTCAGCTGGCAGCAGGCTCAGAGCTTAGAGCGCCAGTGATGGTAACAGAGTTTCAATTATAGAAGCTAAACAAACCCAGATACCTGCTTTCAGCCAGCACCGGCTAAGAGCAGGAGCCAGCTCTCAGCTCCAGTGACAGCCATAGAAGGTAAATAAATCACAGAATAAAAAAAAAAGAAGAAAAAAAGAGGCTGGGAGCTTCAGTCACCCACCAGCCTGAAAACGGCCCTCAGCCCCTCACCCAGATTGGCCAGGAACCCCAGTGGGGACCCCCACCCTGAAGGGGGTGTGACCAGCTGCAAACAGCCATCAGCCCCTCACCCAGGCTGGCCAGGCACCCCAATGGGGACCCCCACCCTGATCTGGGACACCCTTCAGAGCAAACCAGCCAGCCCCCTCCCGTGCGCCAGGCTTCTATCCTATATAGTAAAAGGGTAATATGCGAACTGACCCTAACAGCAGAACAACTGGGAATGACTGGTCACTATGACACACACTGACCACCAGGGGGCAGACGCTCAGTGCAGGAGCTGCCCTCTGGTGGTCAGGGAGCTCTTTCAGGGGGGAGCTCTGCTCAGCCACAAGCCAGGCTGATGGCTGCCAGTACAGCGGTGGTGGTGGGAGCCTCTCCTGCCTCCTCAGCAGCCCTAAGGATGTCCGACTGCAGCTTAGGCCTGCTCCCTGCTGGCAAGTGGACATCCCCTGAGGGCTGCCGGGCTGCCAGAGGGATGTCTGATTGCCATCTTAGGCACAATCCCCCAGGGAGCAGGCCTAAGCCAGCAATTGGTCACCCCCGAGGGGTCCCAGACTGCGAAAGGGCACAGGCCGGGCTGAGGGATCCCCTACCCCCGAGTGCACAAATTTTTGTGCACCGGGCCTCTAGTAAAAATATAAAACTAGAGGCCCAGTGCACGCAATTTCTGCACTCAGCAGGGGAGGGGGGGAGTCTTTCAGCCAGGCCTGCGCCCTCTCCCAGTCTGGGAGCCCTTGGGGGATGTCCAACTGACAGCCTAAGCTGGTGTAGGGCTTCTGGCTGAGCGGTGTTCCACCTGTGGGAGCACACTGACCACCAGGGGGCAGCTCCTTCATTGAGCGTCTGCCCCCTGGTGGTCAGTGCTCATCATAGCGACCGGTCATTCTGCTGTTCAGTCAATCTGCATGTTAGCCTTTTATTATATAGGATAATGCTCCATCTTAGTATAATCAGGGAAATGTATAATAAGCAGTAAGATATTTTGTCCATCATATTGGTAAAATGTTTGGGTTTTTTTTGTACAGTAGAACCAAGTGTTTAATGTCAATAAATGCAATCAGCAGAATCAAAGATATCATCTCAAGGAGGATTTTAAATGAACCTATGATGTTATTCCATCTGCTTTAATTTTTTTTTTTATTGCTTAAAGTATTACAAAGGGTATTACATATGTGTCCATTTTATCCCCCCGCCCTAGACAGTCCCCTAGCCTCCCCTATCCCCCAGTGTCTTATGTCCATTGGTTATGCTTATATGCATGCATACAAGTCCTTTAGTTGATCTCTTACCCCCCTACCTCCTGCCCCCCAACCCTCCCCGGCCTTCCCGCTGCAGTTTGACAATCTGCTTGAGGCAGCTCTGCCTCTGTATCTATTATTGTTCAAAAGTTTATAATGGTCTCTATTATCCATGAATGAGTGAGATCATGTGGTATTTTTCCTTCATTGACTGGCTTATTTCACTTAGCATAATGCTCTCCAGTTCCATCCATGACGTTGCAAATGGTAAGGTAAAATGTTTTTGATTGGTAAAATCTGGTGGTGGTGTGAGGCTGGGATAAAAGGTACTATTATAACAGTATCAATGGGAGTACATAATGGTAAATTCATTTTGGAAATAATTTGGCAAAATCTGTTAAAATATAAAATATATATACCTTTCGGCCTTGTGGTTCCACTGTACTTGGGCACAAAGGATATGGAGAAGAAATGTTCACTGAAGCCTTATTTGTAAATGTGCAGAACGGAAACAAACCACATGTCCACCAGTAACAAAATGGCCATGTCCACAGTCACATCACTGAAATGCTAGTTCCACAAAGCACAGGTTTGTGTCTGAGATACTAGTATATGAATAATACAGTAGGTTAAATGGTGGCCCCCAAAATATATAGCCACGACCTAATCCACAGAACCCAGGAATATGATCTTATTTGGAGAAAGGATCTTTGCAGATGTAATTAAGTTAAAGTTCTAGAAATGATACCACACAGGATAACCCAGGTGAGCTCTGAATCCAACAAAAACTGTGTTTATAAGAAACAGAAGAGGAAAAGACACACACAAATGAGAAGGCCGTGTGAAGATGGAGGCAGTGATTGGAATGCCACAGCGGCAAACCAAGTAACACCAAGGATTGCTACCACCACTAGAATCTGGAAGAGGCAAGAAACCTCCCCTTGAGCCTTAGGAAAGGGCATGGTCCTGCCAATACCTTGATTTTGGACATCTGGCCTCAGGAACTCTGAGAGAATGAATTTCTGTGGTTTTAAGCCACCCGGTTTGTGGTACTTTGTTATGGCAGTCCTAGGAAACTAATATAAATAAATATATTCACTCAGGTCCTTTGATACATATTAACTAAAAAAACAAGTTATGAAATAATATTCATATAACTAAATTAAAAAGTCCTACACATGTTATGTAAAACAAACAAAAAAAGAACTATGTGTATAGATGTGCATAATGACATAGAACACTAATCAGCCGTTCCTTCTTGGGGTGGGAGTGGGTTTTAGTAGGATGGGGAGCGGTCAAGGAAAATCTCAGCTTTACTTTCTAAGCATTCACACATTTTTTAAATGTAAAGACAAGCTGATAACAAAGCTTACCATTTGAGAGATTACATGCAGACACCATCTTAAGTAAAGCCATTTTTTTTTTTTATCTAAAAGGAGAAACAAATCCCTTATTCACTTCAAAGTACCTTATTCTGAGGTAGGGAAGTACCTTATTCTGAGCTTGGAGGCCACTGCCTGCTGGCATGTTATACCAGTACAGGCTATGACAGGAGCTGGAGAAAATGCTATATCAGTTATTACATATTGCTTGGTATTCTCCACAAAAGAAACAAAGAATTTTAAATATTCAAATTTTCTTTTGAATAATGTAATTTATGATACCCATATTTTATCCGATCAAGTGCAATACAGGCCACCCATTTTCCTTGAGTATGTATTCTGAGTGGATGGTACATATTAATTGCTATTGTTTGCTTTTAATAGATTATTCAATTTACTACTCACGCTTTACTGAGGAAGTTTCTTTCAATGCATCACTCAGATCAAAATCAAAGTCCGCGGATCCTAAAAAATAAAATTTTTTAATTTTAACTATATTTTCATGAAACAAAATAATACTAAAATACTCTCTTGTAATGGTCATTTCTCTTTAGCTAGTGTCATGAAGGTAATGCCACAAAAGAAGATCAGTTGAAGCCTCCCAAAGATATAATGAATTGATATCCTTCCACAAACAACTTATCCCTGCCCCCCCCCAAAATACATCCTTCAGTCCACTAGAAGTGTGAAGGCTCAAGTGTATAGAACATAAAGTACAATCTTACAAAAATATTTCTACATGTTATGTATGACTTTTGTAACAGGTAAGATTGGAGCCCAAAGCTCCACTGAAAATGGGCTAAGATCTTTCACCCCACCCCAGGTTTCACAAAGGCTACTCTGCATTTTGTCAACTCAGGGTACCCTCCTCCCCGACCCTAGCACCTACACCTAGACTAGTAGCTCTAACCAATAATACATAACTGAAAAGACTCTGGGGAAAAGCTTTCCACAAAGAATCTTCCATTCCATCTGCTCAATGCTGCTTGTTTTGGAATTTGACAGCTATCATTCCCTTGAGATCGGCATGTAGTTTCCCATGGGGGTATATACATTATAGCTATGCATTCTCACTGGAACTGAATATGTAAATGAATGGTGGATTGTAGAAGCTAGTTTTCTCACTGTTGGAGCATCAGATAATCAAGATTAACACGGACAGTGATGAGTAATATTGATAGTATATACCCTGGATATGATGTGATGAGAAGGGTGCTATAGTACGTGTGTGGTCTTTCTCTTAAAAACACATGACCTCAGTATAATCATGAGAAAAACATCAGACAAATTCCAATTGAAGGCATCCTAAAAAATACTTGATCAGTATTCCTCAAAACTATCAAGACCATCAAAAACAAAGTAAGTCTAAGAAACTGGAGTAGCCTGAAGAGTCTAAGGAAATATAGTTATGGAAAGTTATGTGGTACCCTAGATTGGATCCTGGAACAGAAAAAGGACTTTGGATAAAAACTAAGAAAATCTGAATGGAATATGAACTTTAGTTTATAATAGTGTATCAATATCGGTTCATTAATTGTGACAAATGTGCCATATTTTTATATGTTTTATTTATTTTAGAGACAGAAAGGAAGAGAGGAAGGGAAGTGACAGAAGGGGAGAGAAAAAGAGATACAGAGAGAGAGAAACATCAATGTGAGGGAGAAACATAGATCAGTTGCTTCCTACACACATCCCGACTGGGGATCAAACCTGCAACCTGGGTATGTGCACTGACCGGGAATCGAACTGGTGACCTTTTGGTGCATGGGGCAATGCTCAACCAACTGAGCCACACTGGCAAGAGCTCAAATGTACAATATTAATAATAGGGGAAACTGGGTGTGGAGCATATGGGAACTTTCTGTACTAGCTTTGCATTGTAAATCTAAAACTGTTCTAAAAATAAAGTATATTTTAATATCCATTTCCTATAGCAAAAATTAAGGGTAACCACTAAGAGATGATCTGTAACCTCAACTCTTTCAAAAAGTAAACATGCAAGTTCAACAACAGTAACTAAAATCAATCCAAAAAAGTCACTAAACGGAAAAAAGAAGCAAGAAACATAATTGTCCAAGACTATAGAATATATTAACACCAAGAGTGAACCCTCATGTAAATTATAGACTTTGGGTGATAATGATGTGTCAATATAGATTAATCAATTATAATTAATGTACCACTCTGATGGGGATTGTTAATAATGGAGGATGCAGTCACCCATATATTATTTAATATATTTAACTGTTAAATGCATTACCTACCAACAATAAAATAGACCTTTATGAAAACTGAAAAAAAAAAAAAAGAAAATGGAGGATACTGTGTGTGAGGGCAGAAGGTATATAAGAAAACTCCATACCTTCTGCTCAATATTGCTGTTAACCTAAAACTGCTATAAGAAATTAAATCTATTGAAAAAAGGATAACAAAAGCCTATATAATGACACTAGAGGCCCAATGCAAGAAATTCGTGCAAGGGGCTCGGCCCTCGCAGCCGCAGCGGCTTGCCTCGGCCCTCACAGCTTTGTCCAGCAGAAGGTCGTTCAGCTGTCCGGTCTAATTAGCATATTACAGTTTTATTATTATAGATAGGAAAGGGCTCCAAAATATACTATTAAATAAATAAAGCAAGGTACAGAGAGTATTTTTCCATTTGTCTATATACATATCCATAAAAATTTTCTGGAAAAATTGCTAACAGTAGTTATGTTTAGAGAATGAAAATAGGAGTCAGGAAGAATGAGCATTTTACTATTAATTTAAACCTTTCTCTGCCTTTTTTGTTTTTAATAATGTACATATATTTCTCTTTTGATGATGATAATGATAATTTAAAAGTTCTGTATCAACCCTCCAAAATCATAAGCCTATCATCCTACTGGGTCTCCATTTAAAACTCTATTCTTACTTTCTAGTCCAAGAATTGGAAGAATAGGTTCTTCCAAGTAACATCTTGCACAAGTAATATTTTTAGCCTCAGCCACTCCACTACTGTTTGCTGACACATTCTGTTATATATCATCAAGTAAAGAGTTAGGAACAATATAACACAATTTTGCAGTATTTCTTAATCCCTCATTGACCTTGGATTCAATAGACCCAAACCATCTGTGGACAAAACCATTCAATCTCAATCTAATACATCCTGAGCTCTTAAGGCTACTTCAGAGCGTACGACCAAGCATAGCTGCTAAAATCAAGATGGGAACAAATATTTTCATGAGAAATACCACATCTCAAATGGTCTAAAGTTAGAGCTGTATTCCATACCTCTTCTATGCAATCTGTAACTAAATAACTCAGTTTGGGTGCAGGCAGACAAGGATCCTCCACTTTAACAACACTGGCTCATCATTTGGCACCAGGCACACATTAGAAAGCAGCTTATTCATCGTAGGGTCAATTTACAAACCCCAAATCATTGTGTATCTGGGGGACCAGTGTTCCAGTATGGGGCAGGAAAGTTACCTCATTCAGCCCTCTCTCCCTCCAGGTAGCACACCCATGCCATTGCCTCCCCCCCCCCCCCCGCAGGTACATATCCCCCAATTCTAAGGGACCTCATGATATTTCTGCTGCTGTCAATAAAGTCTTGCTTGATTTTCTAAAAAAAGAAAAAGAAAAGTTACCTCATTCCACTGCAGAGGGTCACAAAAATTTGTTTTAATGGAAAAAGCATGTAATGAACTGGTCACACCTGTATAAAAACATCCTTTCATAGAGCAAAACTTTTGGAAATATTACACAAAGCCCTGCACATGTCCTTGAGAAGATCCATTTAGTAAGGAAAACGCTGCTTCTACCCACAGATAGCCCAGCGGCCTGTGTCTGTCCTAACGTGGATTTTGTCCCTTGGGGAGGGAACACAAACTTGACCTCATATTGCAACCTGACCCACTGTGACTAGGGTCTAAAGCTAAGGGCACATTTTCAGAGATCTGTAAAACAAGGCACAGCAGGCAATTGTTAGAGAATTCCACCAGGAACTGGCAGGACCCAGCAGCTGTCTTGATTGAAATGTCTGATCCATGAGAGCACCCACGTGATGTGCCCCTTCAGTAGTCTTACATTTGGATTTTATTTAATTAGCCACTCTCCTCTATTCTCCTGCCTGTTCCACTTAGTTTTTCCTGAAAGCTTGCCCCTTACAGTTAGGTGTATATGTTCATTCTCTCTCTAGCCCTATCCTGTCCATCATGGGAACCACTAGCCACATGTGGCTGTTTAAATTAAAACTAATGAAAATTCTATAAAAATGTTAAGATTCAGTTCCTTAATCACACTAGCCACATTCCAAGTGCTCCATAGCCACATGGGGCTGGTGGCTATTGTGTTCGACGGTGCTGACAAAGAATATTTCCATCATCATGGAAAGTTTCATTGGCATGTGCTGCTCTAGACAGTGAGCTGCTTGAAGCAGAGACTAGGACTTGGTCTTCTCCATGCCTATGCACAGGCCCAGAAGCAAGGAGGCACTCCCTGTTCATTGTGATTATCCAAAGGGTGTCTCCATATTGTGAGAATATCTTCGATCTTTTCCCCACAGACTCACCAGTAGATCGTACATGATATTATTTTGTGACAAATCCATTTGGGTTTCATGCCAAGAGCAAACTCATCTCTGCGGAGGAACATGTCTGCTCTCTGCTGATGGATTAAGAACTGCAGAGATAGGGACCTCTGGCTGCTAAAGATTTCATAGGCATAGTCACAACTCAGCCAGGAAGATGGGAGCCTCTCAAGTGTCCAATTACATCTATTCCCCTGCTCTCTAAGGATGGTTTCTCATCTCCCTTTTTCCTATGTACATATGAGAAACTTTCTATTTTTTTTTTCCTTTTTGGAAAGGGCCCAGTACAAATCCTACATGAATAAAAACTCACATAAACTGCTTTTGTTTTCAAATTTTAAAACCTTGGCCCTTTTCTGTGGATAAATAAGCATGCAAGGGACACCTGAGACTCGTAAATCATAAATATGACATCTCCGGATTTTCCATTTGTCTAAATGGAGCTTCCATAAACATCTATGTTATACTTAAATTTGTCCAATGCAAAGAGGACCCACTAGAAGGTGGGCCAGAATCAAATTCCTACCTAAGGGGTCAAATCATGACACCTTTAACAGGACTCTGGCATATACCCATAATCACTTGCGTTCAGAAAATAAGACTAGCCCAGTCAGTGTGGCTCAGTGGTTGAGCATTGACCTATGAACGAGGAGATTACGGTTCGATTTCCGGTCAGGGCACATACCCAGGTTGTGGGTTCAATCCCCATCAGGGGGCATGCAGGAGGCAACAGATCAATGATTCTCTCTTATCATGGATGTTTCTCTCTCTCTCTCTGTCTCTGTCTCTGTCTCTCTCCCTTCCTCTCTAAAATCAATAAAAAACTATTTTAAAAAAATAAGACTAAAACCAGCCCTAAAAGATTGAACCTAAAGGAGGAGGGGTGAGGGGC